CATGCATGCATGCATTCATTCATTCATTCATTCATTCATTCATTCATTCATTCATTTATATGTCACATTTATGTAGCTGCCCATCTCACACAAAGGAACTCTGGGCAGCTTATATCCCATTTATTTCCACTTGGCTTTTTCTGCTACAATGATGGTTAAACAAACCATTAAGAGTTTGTTTTGGGCAGGAATAGCAACTTAGGCCATTAAAATGTCTGGGCTATGCCTTACATGCTGACTAAACCTGCCTAATCCATATTTACATGCTGATAAAAACACAATTTTCATCACTTTCCACCACCCCCACCACCCAAAATCAGGGATTATAATCCAAGAAGAAGCTGTTAAGTATTTTGCAGGAGCTGATAAATGTATTAGCTATTCATGATAAGTCAGAATTCCAGACAATTCTGTTTTATTATCTAGCATGAAGGCATAAATTTCAGTTTGTTGCCAATAGAGATGGAAGTTTCCAAGTTCATTGTAAGAAGGTTTTGGCATTTCATATAAATTACTTCTAAAGAATGATAATGTTAATTATCAGTTATTTCACTACCAGCTACAAAGCTTTAGTAGTCTTTAAAATCTCATCATACTGTTGGCATTTTACTGCACAATGGCAACAGTTGTTTTTGCTTTCCCTATATCTGTGATGTACCAGTAAAATCTTAGCCACACTATTTTTGAATAGGCCCTATCTGCTTTCAATGCTATCTAACAATGTGAACACAAACCGCATGTAAGATGCTCAAAACCATTTTAACATCATACACGAAACTCTGAAAGAAAAAAAAAGGCCTGAAGCTTTTTTAGCAATCAAGCCAACCTTTTATTCTGTTTTTTACCACCTACAAATTCAATTCAGAATCAATCAAAAACTTCTGCTTCAGCACAGCAGAAGGGAAAAAAAAGCAATTAAGAATTGCTTAAGCAGAGCCAGAGGACATCTAAATACGCCAGGAATTATTTCATACCATCTTTGAACATTCACCCCTAGAATGCAAGGATCTGAGCTCATTCATTTATTCATCAAAGAGCCAGTGGCAAACTGAGGCTGTCCAATGACACAGCACCATGTGGATGGTTACAGGAAGATTGGATTGTGGGACTAGTTCCATACCTCCATCAATGTTTTTGTTCAATCCAGCTGGAAAAGCAAGAAGACGACTTCAAATTGAGGAAAGTAACAAAACGTTGCTCAGACTTTTTCAGACAAGAAACATATTTAAATATTTACCAGTGCAATTCTTTTGAAAGTTGGGGTTCTCTAGAGGATGACCTGGCAGGCGGCATTGGAAGCGATGTTGCCAAAACTCAGGGAACCATGGATTTCTTGTGTTGGTCTCCAGTCTTATTTTCAAAAAGTAGTCATCAAATGATAAGACTTCTGGAGACTGCAGCTTAATTGTGATGCCCCCACTTGCTTCAGCTTCATACCCCTCAATGACTTCATCTCTATCTGCCCATCCATCACTGGAAAAAAAGAAACAAACTGCTGTTAGGTCAAAGCACATATCTAAACAGTATTTAAATAGAAGCTGTTTAATGTATCAAAAGGCCATTGCAATATAAGGAAAAACATGATTACATTTTACCACCCCCTTCTCATCATAGCATTATTTAACATTTATTTCTTCCTCCAATAATATCTTGAGTATCGTATCACTTCAGGATAGAGCTACTATATCTTCACATTTGTTCCTGCCCCCCTCTAATTCTTCAGTGCCCTAGAAAAGCAGCACCATCTAAATAAAAAGGGGAGGGGGGCTAACAGAAGACTATCAGGGTAAGGAATCCAGAAATCATCATTCCAAAATACTCTTTTACAACAGTAGCAAAAACTTATACAGGGAAATAGCATTCCAATTACTCAATGACCACAGAGTGCTGCTAAGTTGTCTTTGTGGGAGAATTATAAGTAATTTAAAAACTTATTACAGTGCCCCACAAAAGAGGGTAAAAATAGCAAAAGTCAGAGTGCCCATTCATTTCTATAAATCTTTCCTGTTTCCCCAAATTATCTATATGGTAGCTATTTTTTATTATTATTATTATTATTATTATTATTATTAGTAGTAGTAGTAGTAGTAGTAGTAGAAGTAGTAACCCCCTCCCAAGTCCTGCTGTGCTGCTTCATCATGGCGGGAGGACAGAATGAGTAAAGAATGCTGGAAGTTTATGCCAAGGGTACATATTCCCAGCAGGGTTGCCCAAAGCATGAAGGTTATCCCAGCTGCCCAGCTAAAGCAAACAGGCACCTATATTGGGCAGCAGTGACATATAGGAAGAGGCCAGAGGCAGTGGCAATGACAGAGACATTGATTCATACTCCGTGGGAGAAGGCCATGGTAAATCACTCCTGAATTACTACCAAAAAAACCACATGGATAGAAAATATAATATGATTGATATAGTGCCAGATGATGGCCCCCTAAAGTTGGATGGCACTCAACATGCTACTGAAGAAGAGCTGAGAATCTTTCGAATACTAATGGTGTTTATGACATGGCTAGATTAAAGCCTTTGGGACGTCTAGTTGCTGATGTTGCCATACAGGAAAAGAAAATCCAAAACTGCAAAGATAGAATTACAGTGGGAACATGGAATATAAGAAGCATGAACATGGGGAAGCTCAACACAATGAAAGATGAGATGAAATGACTACAAATTGACATCTTAGGCATCAGTGAACTGGGATTGGATACTTTCAGTCAGAAGATCACACTGTTTATTATTCAGGATAGGACAAACAAAGAAGATACAGGATTGCTTTTATAGTTAGGAAGGGTATAGCAAGAACAGTACTTGGCCAGGATGCAATCAATGGTTGAATGATATAATTTAGACCTCAAGGACAATCCTTTAATATGATAATCATCCAGGTTTATGTTCCAATCATTGCTGCAGAAGAAGAGGAGGTTGGTGATTTTTATGTTCAATTTGAAATTGACAGAACATGCAAGCATAATGTGCTGCTTGTGATTGGAGACTGGAATGCCAAAATTGGAAATAGTAAGGAGGAAAATGTAGTTGGGTTGTATGGCTTAGGAAACCAAAATGAAGCAGGAGAATGATTTATCCTTTTCTGCGACTCCAAAGATTTCTTCATAGCAAACACTACCTTCAAACAACCAAAATGATGCCTGTATATATAGACATCACCAGATGGAGTACGTAGAAATCAAATTGACTATATTATTGGTAAAAGGAAGTGCAGGAGCTCAGTTACAGCATCAAGGACATAGCTAAGTAGTGATTGTAGAATAAATCATGTACTGCTCATAGGTTGCAAGTTCAATTTCCACAATGAGATCTTGAACATACACTCACCATTTTCAAGAAGAACATCAGGAATCACTTTCAAATCCTGAACCTCATTGATAGAAAACTAGAAGAACTATGAAATTAACTTAAAGAAGTTGTTAAGGAAGAATGTGAAAAGAGACTGCCTCCCTAACAGAATCTTGTACTCTTACCTCCCTAATTCACTGAACTACAAAAAGGAGAATTACAAGATTCTGTTGTTGTTATTATTATTATAACCAATTTCAATAAAAGTAGTTTTAGCCTTCCTGTGGAGTTGTTTTCCTGGTCTGGTTTACCTAATGGGGCTGACATCAATCTTGCAAGTTTGATTGTGCTATATCTCCTCCTCCTTCTTATACTTCAGTGAATTAAGGAGGCATCCGCCTGAGCCATTTCTGAATGTTACCTTATTCTGGACTTTTAAAATGTTTCAGCCCCCTTTCTCTAGGTAATGGTTCCTGCATATCTCTGTAAAGGTTATTTTACTTACTCTCTAACATGAAGGTCTTGGAAAAGATATCCAGATGCTGGGGGTGTGTCTGTACCTACAAAGATCAGAGTCATGCAAGCAGTAGTATTCTCTGTGACACTTTATAGAAGTGAAAGCTGGACTTTGAAGAAGGAGGATAGGAACAGTATTGATGGTTTTGAACTTTGGTGCTGGAGAAGACTCCTGAGAATACCATCGGGAGCCAAAAACAAACAAGCAAACAAACAAACAATGGCTCATCAAACAAATCAACCCAGAGTTCTCACTCAAGACACAAGTGACCAGGTCCAAATTATCATACTTTGGACACAGTATGTGAAGACCCAGCTCTCTGGAGAAGGCTGTAAGGCTGGGAAGGGTGAAAGGTAAGAGAAGAAGAGGGTGACCAGCAGCAAGGTGGATGGACTCAGTTACAGTGGTGATAAGTGCATTGTTGAAAGACTTGGAGGACCAGGTTAGGAGAAAATCTATCTATGTGGTCGCTAAGAGTCAACACTGACTTGATGGCACATAATCAATAAAAAGGCACTACTAATGTACAGTAGTTGTGCTTAGCTAGCACAGCTCCTGAAGTTGATAAGATAAGTTAAGCTGGAGGACTGAAAAGTATATCCTAATATGATAGAATGGGGAAAAAACATAACAAAATTGAGTCTACTGAAAGAAAATCCACCTGCTATTCATGAATACTGGTACTGCTTTATCTTAAAAACAAATAAATTCTTGTTCATTTGATACTGCAGACTCAAGCTGACTGTGCTAAAAATGGGAAAAAATGGATCACTTGGGTGAGGCATTTCTGGATTTTTAAATGTTGGCTCACAAACTTTTAAGATCACAGTTTAGCGCTTCCTCTTTTTCTGCCTCCAAAGACTCCTAGCTTGGAGTTTAAGTGCAAATGTAAGTCAGTTTGCATTTAATTTTTAATATGCATGGTCATGTCACCAGAAAAACAGACTAAGTTGGCATCTAAAAAGTGGCTGCTTCCATCTGGAATGATACCAGCAGCTCTTTCTGTCATAAAAAAGGAGCTTAATTTGCTGGCTTCTCACAGAAGCAAAGTGGGCTACAAAGATCAATGAGACTTACCATAAAGAATTTACATCTGACCTGAAGCCACTTCCAAAGGCTGTTCAAGATATTCAAGAAAGAAAAAGTACACGGATTCCTTGGAAGGAGTACTTATTAACTTTAAAGCATAAAAATAAACTCATGCAGGCAGAACATCAGAAAGATTTTAACTGTCCCTTAAATCACAGAGAAGGCTATGGGAATTCTGTGACTCCAACCCTTTGCTTCTGGATCACTAGAAAACTGTAACCAAAGAACTGAGTCATTTAAACCATTCTGAAAAAACAAAATGTCCTAGCAGATCTATGGTCTTTCCTTGCAGACTTACAGAGTACACCAGTGTTTCTCAACCTCCGCAACTTTAAGCTGGCTGGGGGAATTCTGGGAGTTGAAGTCAGCACAGTTTATAGTTGCAGAGGTTGAGAAACACTGGCATACGCCATAGGCCTAAATTCTAATCTGTATGGATTAGCCATAATATATGGTTAAACACTATTAAAATATAGTAAAATAGTATAAAATTAAGGGCCTTGGGTTGCATTTATCAAATGTAAGCATCAATAAAGAAATACCTTCCTGATTTCCTATACCATGCTAAACTGAATCCAAACAAACTACAGTGATTGGTGTCCAAGATAACGTAATGACATTAAGACATGGGTCTGAATCAAGGTCTTCCAAGTTCAAGTTAAGTTCAGTTCATTTTGGACCACTTTGCTGGGCATCTGCTTTGCTTTAGGACTTAGAAATTTGCTTCTGAAAATCCAAAGCTATCTTCCCAATGGGGAAGTCAACAGATAGCTAACTTGTTTATGTTCTGAAAAAAACTGGATGAAATCTGCAGGCATAGGATTACCTTGTCAGTAAAATAAATCTGCCAAATTTTACACAAAATAGGTAAGTAGGTTTTTGTTCAAGTAGCCAGCTTTCATTTATAAGAAGCAGCTTACTACCTTTTAGACATGTGACTGGACCCATATTTTAAAAGGGGATATTCATCCCTGAAGGCATTTCTAATGATCAGGTGCAAGATTCTGAATGATTCCCAAAACTGCAAGTAAAATGATAGACTATGTTATTCATCATTAATATGAATACAAACGACAAAATTCTAAACACTTGCCTTAAACATGCCCAACTGAAATAGTTATACGGAACTCATTAATTCCCTTTCAACACTGATCCACCGTTCATTTTGTAGTTTCGCTCTGACATGGGTAACTTGCATGCAACAATGAAAAGTTTGGGCACTGAAAATGTAAAGGGCAGAGCACTTGCTTGAAAGGGGTGTGTGTGTGTGTGTGTGTATGCAAAATCAGCAATAGTATTCCTCAGAGTCCGGAAAAAAAAGAAACAACCAACTGTTCTCACTGTGACTTTAGGATGTGCTTGCAACAATCGGGATGGCTGCCAGCTTTCTACAAGCAGCCCTAATTTGGTTGCTTAATGTTGCACAACTATAGCAACAGCTGTATGCTTTTACTGGAACAAGTTGCACAAGGAGAAGCAGTCCAAAAAGAGAAGAGCTTTCTCTTCCTTGGGATTTACCTTAATGACCAACTGACACCATTCCATTTAGTTTAAAGGCATCCCAAAGGTGTTTCCT